TGCACGGGAGTCGGCAGCGGCTTGGACGAGCTGTTGGATCGTTGGTGAGTGTGGTGGTTGGGCGAGACGGACTGATTAGGCGACTGCTTTTGCGGGAAAGGAATTCGTGCAGGGCTCAGCAGCTGAAGGTTGCTGTCCCAACCTTGGTTGCCGGCAGCGATGGGCTGTTGGGCCAACATGGGCGTATAATATTGCGAGTATTGGGATGGGTTGTTGGTGGGGTTGTAGTATTGGTGAGAAGGCGAGTTGGGACCCTGAATCTCAAAGGATGGGTTATAGGAAGAAGCCGGGGTCATCGAAGCAGCCCCGAAAGACTGGCTATCGGTAGTGGTGGGGGGGGGTATGGGATAGAAAAGGTCGGAGAAGAAAAGGTGGGTGAAGAAGGCGCGGAAGAGGGCGGAGAGGCGAACTGAGGTTGAGATTGATATTGGAAAGGTGGTTGCAAGCAGGACTGTTGGTACTGCACAGAATCGTCGAGCAGCTCTGGCGGGTACTGATCGTCTTGTATGATGATGTCTTCTTGGGAGTATGGATCGGTGATGAGACCCTTACGTGGGTACATAAGCATTATGTTATCTCACGTATGGGGACGTCAGCAGTTGGGTGGAGGGAGATCGAGTTCGCCACCTGGGGAGGCGAGCTTTTTATAGAGAGGAATTCCGACGGGTCAAGATCCGAGAGATCCTTGGGAGCAGGCAAGAGTTTGTGGCCGTGCTGAGGAATCTGGTTCGCTGGGGTGAAGAGTCTGGAAACGTCGAGGGAGTGATGGAAAGGTTCTGGGACCAGGTTGAACCTTAAATCAGAAATGGTCTGGAATGGGGAAGAGTTTGGTTCTGATGGATGATGGGCTTACCAGGTGATATATGATTTGAGTGAATAAAGGTGAGTGAGTAATATGTTGAGGTGAAGTGAGTTAAGTTGAGGTGAGGTGTGTATGAGTAATGGGTGTATAATAATCAAGGGAATTCAAGTCAAAGACCGGAAGGATGTGGGTTCTTAAAAGCAAAGGCCCCCATGACGTTTAGGCGTCGCTCGACATGGCTGCAGCGCACCGGGAAGACCGAAAGATTTCGGTATTACGACCGATCGGATGCATTGACTAGGCCCGATGAGGGACTAGTGGTATTTCAACATACACTTCTGTACAATACAGTACTCATGGGGATCCACTGATCGCTGATCGTCGGGGGTACCGTCCAGTCTCTCCCCCTTCTGTGTTGTCCCTCCTTGCAGTGGAGTGGTGGCTTTCCCTGCCAGCCACATACCCACCCCTCAAATCAAATCAAATGTCACTGATCGCTCGTCCATTTCCATTGGATTGGAGATCTCAAGAGCCTGTCCTGCAAACGAGTCCCATAGATTAATTTACCTCCTCCGTGGTTATACGAGAGAGATACGGAGTAGGGTACGAAAACATACGGGAGTCATCGGGTTCAGCAAAATGGGATTAGAATTCTTGATTACCATTCTGAATCGTACTCTGTATCATCGCTTAGCAATCTCTTCTTTACGAGTACGTACTACTGTAGTAGGCCTGCATAATCCGGGTCTAACGAACTAGTCCCGATCTCCGAAGCTCCAAACTCCAAATTTAGGGCACCCCGAGATTTCTACAGGGCTGAGCCACACCTTGTTTTGGACCCGTTGGGCCGCGTGACTCAACTTTCAAGTTCTCTCAGCCTTTTCACCCCTACGGCCGAGGTCCCTTGCCCAATCCGGCTAGTCTGTTTTAGTCTACCCTACTACTAGCCACGTCGTGCTCAGCCACCATGTGGCACCCAGGTCATCGGGATTTCCCTGCATTCTAACATTCTCTGGGGTATCCCAAAGTAGACCGGTTTGGGCAGGTCCAAATGCACCAGCACCAGCTGAGATACACCTGCCATACCATACCCCGAAGTTTCTAGGTATTTCGCTCGATCTGCTCGGCTCAACGCTACTGATTTGGCCAAAATGAGACTTTGAGGTCAGCTGACCCATGGCATGAGTACCATGTGACTCAGTACTAGTACCAGCTATGGAGTAACTAGCAGTGCCAACTAGCGCGGTTGCGACCGTGTCTTAGTAGGAGCCTCGTCGGAGCCGCCCTATGCCTTGTTCTATGGTGAGACCCTCGGCTACAAACATCTCTGCCTATTCGATCCAAGGTTCCCCAGGTCACAAGGACACTTTTGGTTATTGATGGTCTGATAATGGACTGTTTCTTTGACCATGACTGTCACGTATTTCACACGGGATAAAATAAAATACATGAAAGAAAAAATTAAAATACTGATCCATCAACACAAAACATGAATAGTAATGATTACAACTATATTTGTCAAATACATTTTGACTCAGAAACGCCCAGGGCGTCAGGAACAAACCCACGCGAATAAAATAAATAAAATAAAAAAATAAGGAAAAAAAATTTAAATCTTCCGTAGATCCCTGCTAGTCCAACTAGCGCGGCCTGCAAAAAACTGAACACGAGGTCGCAAGCATATCGCGTACTCGTATATAGATTGCGCGGGCTACCATCGGCGAGAGAATCTCTAGCGACATTCTTGCATGCGTTAAGCTTAGCGTGGGATCTAATCGGCCGACTTCCGACCGGGGGAACGGTGGCAAAGTCGGTGTTCACTTTAGTAGTCTAGGTACATTTCGTGCGAGAACCGGAGAAGACCCGCGTGATGATTATGAATATGTACGAAAGAAGCAAATCGTACGAGAAAGAATCTTCTGGTCCGGGCTATGCTGAATGCCATGCCAGATCCTCGGAGATGCGGTCCCAGTCCCAGTCTCGGCTTTAGCGCTCGGGTCCCCAAGAGAACGGGGGGCCGAAGCCCGGGGTGCCGTGCGAACCGAAGAGTCTGGACCAACACTCTATTACTACTAGTAGTACTACTAGTAGTATCCCTTAGGGTAGTCTGAGTCCTTGTCTTATCGACTGCTCACTTGACCTCAACCTCTGGTCCAGAATTCTTGGCCCCTCTAGCCGATGTATTTTCGGCTCGAAAGCCACAACAACGTGGCCCTCGTCCGGGGAAGTGGCGAGATTCGGGGGGAACATCTCCATCTCCTTACAATCTGGCCCACATACACTTGCCTATTGTAGAAATAAAAACAATGCACGGGTCATAGAGAGTGCTCAGCTTAGTCTACTCTACCCGCAGGCACAGACAGCACTACAGCACTACGGTAGTAACCACCACTCTGTCGTGTAAAATCACCTTCTTAGTCGGGCGCATTCAACCACCCCAAAACCGGCCCGACACACCCACGCTCGGTCCCCCAAGAGAAAAAATTTTCATTCGTGATCCTTCACGGTGGAATCCCGGCGAAAAGGAAAAAGAGGTCAGCACCTTAACGGTTCAGAAGTGCCGGGCCCAGGGCCCTGACAGTCTCAAGTCCTGCAGAGCAGAATTAGAACAACGCTAATGCACAGTGAAAATTTTTTCGATGCAAATGATTGGCCGTGTTGCACAGCCACGACGATTGGAATGTGCAGTGTTGGTGGTGGTATGGGCGGATACACCGCGACGGAACGCACTAGTAATGATGCAGGTTGGGCAGGCTAGAAGGCGCTAAGAATTCGAAAACCCTTCTAGTGCCGGCAAGTCGGCACCGGGATTCTCCGTTGGCATGCATGTCTGAGGTTTTAGTTTTTTTTATTCCGTTTGGAGGGAGGGAAGGGTTTTCATCTGGCTTAGTGGTTGGGTTGCATCTTACATCGCAAGGTTGTAGGAGTACTGCGCTCCGTAGTAGATATTCAGAAATCGCCCGAGTTATCCCGATGGTGTGCTGAGTTGTGTTATGTTGGTTCTATCCCGGGTGAGTACATGTACTTCGGGATGACTACTCATACTAAGTATACAAAACTTTATACGAGAAACAGACCGCGCTGAGAAATACATCCCAGTTACTTTTGTTTCAGAGAACTTCTATTTCTTTTTTTCGATTACCTTATATGGTATAAGATATTTGTAATAAAATAAAAAAAAACAAGGAAAATTCATGTGAACTGGGAAAGACCTTCTAGAACAGTGATCTACATAGGACGGATCCACGACAACTTGAAGACAAGGCAAGGGATACCAAATGCCCTGTGCTGTTGCCTGTCAAGGGGCCCACGCTGTCACCCTTAATCGTGCTGCCTTCAAAGCACAGCCCAAGATCGGCAATCTAAGAGTCTGATTGGTTGGGAAAAGATACATGTATCTGACTTTTGTTCGACGGATCTCCGCGAGGCTCGAATGCCGACCCTCAACACGCATTCCCATTCGATGGACTCTCCCAGCCAGGGTTGCGTGTCCTACCTATTTCCAGGACAGAGTTCAGCTGGGTTCAGCCTCGTCGTAACCAATCAGGTTTCAGCTCGTCCAATGACATTCTGTACATTGGTCGCCGATGTCTTGATAGAGTTTTAGCTCTTCTCGAGTGGCGTTGTCTGGCTCGTGCGAGTTCCCACCAACCGGCGTCCAAGAGCCCGTGTAATGCGCTGCCATTCGTAACTCAGCTTAGTTGACATTATGCGGATAATCTGATGGAATCTGAGGTGTCGAGGGCTTGGTCGTTGCGTGGCCGGTGGCTTATTTCCACTTTGATCATACTTGTTCTGGGTTTACAAGCCCCGATTTGGCGATACGGTATAATTTCAAGTGGATTCCAATGTTATTGAGACGTGTTCAATTGAGATTTCTATGAGATACGATGCCTTAATAGTTTGGCACTATGAGAAAGTCCATGTTCAAGGAGGACTCGAGGGACAGGAACTCAGGTACTCCAGGGCTATTCTATGATTCAAGTCGCTTCAATATCCTACCCGAATACATAGTCCATGGCCCATAGTCCCGGTTAACAAGAAATAAGCACTAAAACCTTATAAAACTTTAGCATCTGCAACATCTATAAACTCTGATTATAGTTAAAGTAGATATATGCACTCGCCGTGCCCAAACCAAACCCAGCCCATCCCAGCCTAACTACCCCAGGGTACCCAACTACTCGTATGATACCCACTACCCACTACTCGGCTTAGGCCGAATGGCAAGCACCTCCCCCGCAAAACTAGCCTCGCCACCAAACCTCCGCGCCCGAATCCCCACCTCCATAACAGCCTTCATCTCCTCACTCCCCATAACAAAAGCAGTCTCAACCGCACTCCCCAAGACCCCCCTCGCCTCAGGATCGGCCCCGCGTTCAAGCAACCACCTAACCCTCTGCACAGCCCCAGCCATTACAGCATACATTATAGGATGATGCGCCACAAGCTCCGTCTCCCCTTTCTGATTAACATCCGCTCCACGCTCAAGCAGGAGCTGCATAATAGGAATTCTGCGATCCGCGTCAAATAATTCCGATCCCCTGCCAACAGGGACAGGAAGGGCACCAGCAGCGTAGTGAAGAGGGTAGCCGTATCGAATCTCGGCACCGGCGTCAAAGAGCATTTGTACAGCTTCGATATCGGCTTTTGCAGATGCGGATTCTAGAGCCGCGCATGACTCGTAGCTTAATTGATCTGTTGCTCCGTTCGTCGTGACAAGTCGCCGGATGCCGAAATTGGGGTTTGCCCCATGCGTTAGAAACCAGCGTAGTAGCGCTGTGTTGTTGGTCGCTGCTACCTGTGGTAGTAGTGGAGCGCCGGTACTTCCTGGGGAGTTGGGGGTCCAGCCGTGTTGGGTTAGGAGCTCGAAGAGAGCGATTTGGCGGTCTGTTAGCGTGGGGTTGGGGTTTGGGTTGGTGGTGTGGAAGATCTTTTCCGCCGTTGATGTGGTGATGGGGGCGTGGTTGGACAGAAGATATTGGGCGACGGCGACGTTTGAGCCGGTTAAGGCGGCTTCCAGGCCAAAATTTAGGATTTGGGGAGTTGGTTGGGTTGTTGAGAGCATGCGCTCGACTTCTTGGGGCGATCTGGTTTGGCAGATTGCTTGGAAAGTCATCAGGCCGTTTGGTTTTGGCTCTGGGGTGATTGTCGCATGCCCTATTGATCTGGATGTGTTGTGCATCTCTTGGTCATTATTGCTGTTTTCTCCGACTTGTTGAGTGGCTGGGTCTGCGAGCGCTTGTTGCCTGGCGGCCATTGCTTGCAAGGCTCGATTCTGGGCCATGAGCATTTGTTGGCGCTGAATCTGTTGCTGCTGTTGTGCGGAAGCTTGCATGTTGGTCGTTAAGCTTATTCTTAGTTGGGGATGGATTATCGGTTTGTTGGCCAAAGAGGTTCCAATGGGTTTTTGGGGGCCAAGTGCCCTCTTTCCCCCCTGAACAGAGGTGGGTTCTTCGGAGATTATGTGTCCTTTGGGAAATGGTTGAGCGAAAGAGGGAAAATAAGACTTGTTCTAATTCTGAGTATCAAATGCAAGGGAGAAAGACTATGCAAGAACGAGATGGCAAGTAGATGTGTGCTATGAGAGCGAGATGGAAGTGCGATGTGTAAGATTGGCCAAGACAACGCGGGGTGGCCTGATGTCTCAGGCCTGGAGGTGTCGCACCATCGACTAGTTAATTGGTTGCTAGTTTTACTCGTTAAATCTATATTTACATTTACATTTACGCTTGAATAACTCATACTCTAAACATCAGTCAGTCGAATATAGGCAGGATACAGACTTCCCGAGTCCCTTTCAGAAGCACCGGCTAAATCACCCACTATACAGAAATCGGAAGCCTACGAGTCAGTCCTAAAAGAAAGTTTCCTTGATATTAACTATTGAATATCGTTCCCTGGCATAGGATATAAGACGAACCCCATTCAGATTTCAGATAGGAAGATGTTATAAGGCATATTCCAGCAGACCGAGAAATCGCCGTGTTATAATGTGGCACATTGATTTAAGCTCGCAAAATCACACAAACCATAAATCTCCCCGACTAGTTCTCGCGAGTGACCACATCACCCGTAGAGCGACAGGTTCGCTCTGGAGAACTACTGGGAAAATCCAGGAACCTCCTTTCCACCTCCACCACCGGCCCCTTTCTTCGGGCTGGGGACAATGCCATACTCCTCGGCGAGGTTGACATATCTGTTAGGGCCGAGCCTTTTCTTCTGTGGGCAGAGGTCCTCGAGATCGAGGCCAGTGGCGAGCTCTTTTGCGGTCTTCCAGGGAGAACGACTATTAATCCGTCAGCGAAGGTACTTTTTGCAAAACAAGCAGAAGCATGTACGTACCAGTAAACACAGCGCAGACCACTATCACAAGAAACAGCAGCCCACCGCTTCAGGCATTCGCCATGGATGTTATTTCCGCATGTAGCCATACACCAGACGATCTTCTCATCGGGGGTCATCTCCATGAAACAGACCGGGCAGTCGCCCTCGATGGACTTGCGGGTGCCGTTGTTCTCTTCTGCGGCTGTTCCCGTCGGGGCGTCAATTCGGAGGCTATGGGAAGCATTTTCGAGCATGGAACGGAGCTCCTGCATATACGAATCAGTGTCTGATCGGGTAGAGAGTGATGGCCATTCCTTGCTTGTGCTTACCGATGGGAGGAAGGCCTGCTGGTACTGAAGCTCGGCGGGGGCCTTCAAAGCACGCACTAGCACTGCAGATGGAATCAGTCACTGGAATCCCGACGATAGAACAAATCTGAGTGGACAGGGAAATGGAAGGAAAGCAAGTGCAGGTCCAATTCAAAATACTCACCATATATGATATGCTTGCACATGCTCCGGCGATACCTCGAGTCCGGGCAGTCACAGAAGGACACTTCCTTGATGGTAGTTTTATAGAGTTTCCCCGTCGACCCTATGATATCAAATGAGATGTGTGGGTTCTCTGGAGTACCAGCTACTTAGTACCCGGCGAAAAACAGTCTGGTAATGCGATGGATCTTGTTAGTACCCGAAACTATGGGGAGGGGGAGGTTAGGATTCAAGGGCAGATACCGTGAAATCTTGCTGGCTAGTCGCATGAGCTTCACCTTGTGTTCGATGGGAGCCTCGTCCAGCCATGGTTTTTTTCGTTTCTCAGCGCCACCATCAGCCTTGTCCTTTTTGGCTCGGGTCTTCGCCTTCTTCTTGGGAGGCGGGCTCACGTCCACGGCCGGGTCGGTGGAACCAGTTGACTTTGACTCTGTAGCCGGGTTCTGATCAACAGCACGTCTTTTGCCTTTCCTGCTCGGGGGATGGTATGGCAGATCATCTTCATTCTTGGCCTTCCTACTCCGGGTTGTGACTGAAGACTTGGTCGACCTGGCAGGCAACTTGGGTGAGGTTGGCTCGGAAAGATCGTCTTGGGCGGGTAGGAGTGTCTTTGGGATACCCATTTTGAGGTCTCGAGGGGAGATGAGTGTCGATTGAAGATGGAGATTGGGACATAGGGGAAGGAGCTTGAAGGGGGTAAGTGAATGGAGAAGAGTGAGAGAAGAGAGAAGAGAGACAGGTGCAATTCACGGAAGGAGAGGAGCCCATACATCCATTTTGCGCAGAGCTCCTGCACAATGAGAAGATTGAGATCGTTCTTTCACCCAACGCTTTGTCTTTGTTCCATTTTTTACTCACTGGTTTATCAAGATAGAAGAGAATTTCTAGAGCTTAAAGAAATAACATTAATCAAAACTCCCATGTTCGTTTGCGCTAGATCCAAATCATAACTCATTCACTCGTAACACACTCATTAAAAACCCAAAAAACTATCCCATCTCCCAACTAATCCAATCCAATCCATCCTAATCCTTCTTATCCCCATCTTCACCCTTCCCCCTCTCTACCCTAGAATTCCTACCAGGAAGTTCAAAAACCTGAGGATCCGCATCCATCTCATGAACAACAGGCGGCTGCGGCTCAAGTTCCGCCCTTTTCCCACGATTCCGAAAGATCGCCCTAGCAAAGCGAGCCGTCATCGAGTCCGGCGGCGCTTCGTAAATACCATTATGTTGGCCCGGAGCTTCGCGCATGTCTTGTTCTTGGTCGCTGTCTTTCGCTATTTGTTTGCGTCTGCGGCGGTTGTAGAAGTAGTAGTATGCGCCGCCGCCGAGGAGCATGACGGCGCCGGCTATTGAGCCGATTGCGATCCCGATGATTTTCGGGCCCGTTAGGTGGGGCTTTGGGGCTGGTGAAAGGGCGCTGGGGTTGTTGAAGTATGTTTCCACTTCTTCGTTGCTGAAGCCGGAGGGGGGGTTTGGTTAATGTTGCGTTTCCTGTTGAGCTTCGGGGTTTGTTAGATTATATCCATAGACTCATTTCAGGAGAGGGGATGGGAGGTGGGAGATGGGAGCTAACCTTCCACCAATAACATGAACAATTTTCGCTGGCAGTTCGTACTCGCCGGCATTGTAATCGAAGACATTGCCCCATTGGGAATTCTTCAAATTCAATATCGCAACACTCCTATATTCCCAGTCACAGCCATGGGTAATGTTCTCATATCGGGCTCCGCCAACGGTCAACATCTGGGATTTTCCAACAACGTGGCAGGAGTGTGCGTAGCGAGGTGAAGCCCCCTCCATTAACTTGATCCATATGAATGACGGGATCGATAAAACGTATGTCTGGTCGTAGACGGCTTCCTCGCCTTTCCCGCCGTAGAGGTAGATGCTGTGACTCGAGTTGTCGGGCGCTGATACTGTCACGAGGCAGAAGTCTGTTCGTGGTGCGGGTATGTCGCCTGTTGTGTTCTGTGAGTACCAATTTCCGTCCGAGTTGCCGTTGTCAATAGATGCTACGTCGAGGAAATCAACACTGTCGAAGGGGACCTGTGATTGTGGCAAGTATGTGAGTCGGATAATCCTCTTGGTATTTTCCGAGGGAGCTCGAAATCACTTACATATGTCCCCATATCTGACAAGGCATCGTTGCTTGTTGGTTTTGTCACTCCGCCCATCGAAACCAAGATTCCCTCGGTGCCGATGTTTGGCAGATATACCAGCCCGCCCATGGCGCGGGGGTAATTGTCTAAAGACGAGGTGGAAAGGTTCTTCGCTTCTTGCGTCGTGGTGTTGAGCACCACGAGACCATCCAGGTATCTTCGGAAATCGGTGTAAAACTGGTAATCGGGATTGGAGCCATTATCAATGAACCCGTTCAAATAAAATCCCATTCCACGGCCTGTCGCTTCTGCATATGCGCCTCCAGCTGGTCGTAATGGCACGTCGAGCGATATATCATATTGAGCCCAGGCCTTCTCTTGTGCTTCGAATGACCAGAGGGTGTATGTTGGCGCCGTTGGGAACAGAAAACCTGGGAAGCTTCGGTTGACGTAGGAGGAGGTCCCTCCGTACGAGTAAACGTCGGAGTCTTCATTTGTACCGGCGTACATTGCGCCGCGGACGTTTGATGGGGGTAGGGTTCCGGTGTTTGGGTTGGCTGTTTTGTTGACTGCAGTTATGGAGATATTTGTTTCCCAGTTCCAGGACGAATTCAGACCAACCATCACCATGTAGGTATCTGCGCAAAGGGTGAGTGACTTTTCAAGCAAAGGTATGATTTCGGAAGCGTACTGGTTCCGACTATGGGGTCGCCTTGTTTGGGACTCCCATGGTCGTTGTACGGGATGAAGACCTCAAGGCCACCATCGATATAGAGGACATCATCTTTCACAACAGCTGCGATTGTCAGTCATTGCGAGTCTCCCGCTCTCGTCAAGGGGGAATTGGGGCCCACCAACATTGATGCCATAACCGTTGGCAGAAATTCGTGATCGGGTCGATATTGGTGGAGTTCGTGGAGTTGGATGAGTTGGAAGCACCGAAACACCCGTCCGTGAGGACTAAGACTGTCGCAAGGACAAACAACCACATTGTCGCATCTTCCGGGGAAGAATGAAGAAAGACACCGGGAGGACTCAGTAATTAGGAGCGTCGGCCGATATCACCGTATATACAAGCCAAGCTCGGGAATTAAGTGCAATGCGATGCGGGTACAGCACCCAAGCTGCTGGGAGTGAATTAATACATGATTGGAGTGAGCGATACCCTGTCTGACCCCGCGACGAAAGAGGTTCAGCCCCGAGTGCCGTTGAAAAAAAAAATGAAGTCCAGTGACAACCAGTCAGAAGGCGCCATAATGGTCTTCGGCTCGCGAGCTGCATCCACCTGAGGTTAGCGTGAGCTTTCTGGGTGCATCAGATCCACCATGCCCAGCGCCCTTTCGATGAGTTTGTGCCTATGTGCAATAAGGTGTGCGAGTTATGATTAGTGACTAGAGCCCGTCGAACTATAATATAGTATCCCGAAAACCGTCGGGTTTAGCCCGGTCGGGACGGGCTCTAGCATGATTCTTCCCGGCGCGAAGTCCTTGTCCAGCAACTCTGCATGGTTTTCGAAAAGGGGAACCAGACCATGATTGGTGGCTCTGTCGCATCAACAGTGTGGTGATCCCGACACCGGGAGGGGGGACTGAATTGAGCGATAGGCATCTCGGTGCATGGTGGCTGTTGGTTTGTCCATAGCGTAGTATGCACACTGTCGGGTCGCTCGTAGCGACCCAGTCATGGCAGCTCCTGTGGGTATGTTGGGGCTAGTCGCGACGGCCCGGTGGTTTTACTCCGGTTGAGATCACGAGCTGGTCGCCCTAGCATCCTCCTCGCTCGGCCTGGAGTTGGTTTGTTTTTCCATTTGGGCGCGTGAGGTTCGAGACTGGTCTCGGCGATTGCTGTGCCCATGTCCCGGAAATAATAAATGATTTCAGACTTCTAATGAGGCCTGGTGAGATGCCAAGGAGATTCCATGGAGGGTTTTCGCCACGAGGGTATTTTGTGAACTTGGTGGGACATCAATTTTCGAGGATTGCCAAGTGGACGTCTAGCGGATCGTTTGTTCTACAATAAACCTAGCGGCCTGCCAGGATTTTGGGTCTGGTGAACACTAGTAGGACATGGCTGTTGTTGCATGTGGCCCTCGTTGCACATAGTCGATGCAGGAAGTCGTCAATCTTGCAAGGTTGTGTTCGTGACTTGCAGTAGGGTCGGCTTGATTCGACGGCCCTCGTGGTGCTGATCGGGTAATATTGAATATACTGCCGAAAGCGCACTCGAATGGGAGCTTCGGGCGGAGAGTAACCTCATTGTCTATCAATTCTGGTAGGATCCATATCATTTCCAGGTGCTGTCTCTTCTGAAGGGCATTATCGAGTACCTCGTACCATTGTGGCTGACCTTGTGCCGTGTCTTGTCCCAGTGGGGATGGTTTAGTGTATGTTGGCGTGTGGCCGGCGAGGGTCCGGCCATGGAGGGGGTGATAAGGGGAGTATCTAGCGACATTAAAATCCTGCACTAGGATCTCTGATTGGTATCGCGTCTTCGTAGAGCGCTCCGAATGATTCATTGCATGTCTGTAGGGATGCCCAGGTGGGTGGTGAATGATTCAAGGTTGGAACTTGGAACCTCAGACGGGACTTGCTGGCCAGGTCATTGAGGTGATTTTGGGAGGCAATCACCACCTCGGAAAAATAAAAATTACGCTGATTCTAGGACTGGCGAGATGAGCATTTGATTTGGGGCGTACTGTGAAAATGATACAAATTTGACCGATGGATGATTTGAACGCGTTGCGAGGTGGACCAATTCTACCACTCGGCCACCCGCCCAAAAGGCGATTCGGCGCGCGATTCGGGGGAATTATCACTTGCAAAACACTGGGTTGGCGACCGAGACATGCCACATTTTGGGATTTCATTTTACGCCTGATCCCTAGGTAATATCGAATTGTAGTTGATGGTTTTTTACTCTTTGAAAGTCTGGCAATCTTTTGATACCAGATTAATGTGTAATTTTGTGATTCCAGGTTAATCATGTTGAGTTGGGTTGACTTACAAGATAGTGATATATATTTCTAGAGTAACACACCACCATCTTCCCTCCATAACTCGGATATTCATTTTGAAATCTCCCAATACTAGCATTTTTATAGGAAAAATGAACATGGAAATCACACGTGCTGGTCTAGATTAATGCCATTGCTCATATTCGACAAGAAAAAGACTTGTTTTTGCCTTCGCCGTACAATTACAAGTGTCGTGGACCAAGCTGAACACTACGCGACCGACACAAATTACCCCACGATGGAGAAAAAAAAAATACAGCGAAAGGCCGGTTGAATCTTACTTGGTACTATATTATTGTTTACTGCAACATTCAGTTATATACTAAATATCAACGTATCTTGCATGAAGTACAATCAAGCGGGAGTACAGACTATGTACTACCCGTACGAGCTACCGAGATCGCGATGCGATGCCGCGAACGCGTCAACAAAACAACGCGAAGGCAAAGACGCGCCCACGCAGCTCAAGTAGAAGATGTAAAATACGGTTACGATGGAGAACCTTGGAAGCTACGATGGAATAATTGCGTGGTTTCAAAATTGTATTCGTATCGGAGCACATCTCGTTCCGAGAGTGTCAATTCCACCTAAGTGGTGCCAGCCATGTTGTAGAAAGGCCGCTATGATACAGGAAAGCTTAGAGAAGCGAACACTAGCAGACCCATAGTGGACGCAAAAGTGGTAGTCGTTGTAAAAGAAATCAAACCCAGACCCATGACGATTGTTAAAAAATCAGATAAACACCCCAACGTCCCATCGTACCGTTAACCCGGAAAAGAGAAGAAAGACAAGAGACGCTTAGCCGCCGAAACCGTAGAGGGTACCTGAGAGGAGAGCAGTTAGAATGGATGAAGGTAGACGGAAGACAGATGAATGAGGAAAACTCACGGCCCTGGCGCTTGAGAGCGTAGACAACATCGAGGGAGGTGACGGTCTTGCGCTTGGCGTGCTCGGTGTAGGTAACAGCGTCACGGATGACACCCTCGAGGAAGGTCTTGAGGACACCGCGGGTCTCCTCGTAGATCATGGCGGAGATACGCTTGACACCACCACGACGAGCGAGACGGCGGATAGCGGGCTTGGTAATACCCTGGATGTTGTCGCGCAAGATCTTGCGGTGACGCTTGGCGCCGCCCTTGCCGAGACCCTTGCCACCCTTTCCACCTGTTGAACGCGTTAGAAAAGACGCGTCGAGAGAGGACGAAGACCCAGGAAAACCCAAGCTGGGAAGATCCGGGGGGATGGAGAAGACTTACGGCCAGTCATTTTGAATTAGTGTTGTAGAGAAAAAGGGAAGATTTGAAAAGTGGATATGAGACTTGTGTTGTCGACGAGAGATGGAGAAGGAAAGAAGGGTGGAGGAGAAAGGATATTTGTATGGGAAGTGCAAATGGGCGGGGATCAGAATGCAGGACTGAGAATCACGCGCTAGTGAGGGGATCCACCAATCAGAGGGCTGTGATCCGAGGTACTCCCTGGACTGGCGTGATCGGATGCCCCAGGCCGAGAACACCACTGATCTAACTTGGGACTCTCTGATCCAGTCACAAATCACCCCCCAAACATGTTGATCATATTCCGAAAAAAAAATCATAGAGCATTCCAAAAGATAGATCAATACACTCAAATAATTAGATCAACGATCCAGCCTCCCTGGCGACGGGGATCACGATTGAAAGGAGGGATGGCATTCTAGAGATATTGATCCTGCATGCTGATTGGTCGATCCAGGAGAAGGACTCTCGCTTAGGCAGATCAGCCAACCATTGTCCCAACTTGATCTGACCAATCAGCAGTCTCCACTCACCATCCGAAGGGAGAGAATCAAACCGGCCTTGCCTTCCGCCAAATTGATCTGCGTGTTCATTGGCTCGACCTGACTTCCAGATCAACTCTTTCCCTCCCCCGGTCGCACTCCCTACAAATACTCTTCCCCCACCCATCTCTTCTTCCCTTCTCATCCACTCTCGACAACATCATCTTCATCAACCACTTTCCATCAAATTTCATCATCTTAATTTGATACGATGGCTCGCACTAAGCAGACTGCCCGTTAGTATTCCCTATTCTCCTCCACTCTTCCACTCCTCCTTTTTAGAGTGCTCGCTGGCTCTACTCTCGCTCCACCTCTCTGGGGGTTGGTAATGGTGTCATCTCGTCACCATCACTTCGAGCGGGGAGTGGGGTCCCAGCGACGCGACGCGTCTCTAACTTTTCACAACATCGCGCTAACAACTTCAATAGGTAAGTCCACTGGTGGCAAGGCTCCCCGTAAGCAGCTCGCCTCCAAGGCCGCTCGCAAGGCCGCCCCCTCTACCGGAGGTGTCAAGAAGCCTCACCGCTACAAGCCCGGTATGTTCCATCTCCCATCCCAACCCATCTTATCGGATCATCTCTTCTAACATTTCCATCTCAGGTACCGTCGCTCTGCGTGAGATCCGTCGCTACCAGAAGTCCACTGAGCTGCTCATCCGCAAGCTCCCCTTCCAGCGTCTGGTCCGTGAGATCGCCCAGGACTTCAAGTCCGACCTGCGCTTCCAGTCCTCCGCCATCGGTGCTCTCCAGGAGTCCGTTGAGGCCTACCTCGTCTCCCTGTTCGAGGACACCAACCTGTGCGCCATCCACGCCAAGCGTGTCACCATCCAGTCCAAGGACATCCAGCTGGCCCGCCGCCTCCGTGGCGAGCGCTCTTAAATGCCTTCTCTCATACACATGAGGCTTTAAGAGTGGTGGATGCTTTTCTTCTTCGTTGAACAATGGAAAGGCGATAAGGGGTTTCTGATTTTTCTTTTTTACGAACTGGCGATCAAATGATGGGTTTTTGCTTTTCAATATCACAATGGGTTTCGGAATCGGGTTGTTTTCGAACTTTGCTTTACTTTTAGCACGCAAGGATCACAATGCTACTGCCATACCCAATAATCCGGGATGGTTTCAGTCATGGGCATGTACATTAGGAATTACCTTTACCTGGTGCCTTAGCGCGCTCCAACCATGACATAGACGCTGGAATGCGATCTTCTATGATTCAACCCACTCCCGGTCGCAAGACAAGTAGTTTTCAGTATTTTCTAGTTCATGTTCCCTCTTTCCTTCGACTCTCTTCCCTCGACGCGCTCCTCAACGCGTTGTTGTTTCCCCCACCCCGCGAGTCGCCTTTCGCCGACGCGGATACCCACTGAGGCATCCGACCTCGCTCCCCGGGTCATCTCCATCCCAACAAGCGCACCCTTCAACGACGAGCCCCCCCCTTCCATCTCAACATCCCTCGCGTAGACTAGTCGCCGATGCCATCTCCGAAGTATGCACTGTTGGAGTCGATCGCCCATCCACATCAAGATTCCATACCGGTATACCCGGCTAACTAGACGGCATGGAGGGATTCTTCACGCGGGGCTCGCTGCTGTGCGACCGTGTCGGAATGACCACCCATGGCAACCAGCAACCGACCCTGTCCCTTCACACTACAGTACCGGGATAACGTCTCGTACTCTACAGTGCCCTGCGTACAGTCGCTAAGCGCCCTTCAACATTACTCTCCGTACTTCTCCTCTTCCTTGCTAAACCATATCAAATAAAAACACAGCTATCCCAGGTATTTTCCTTGATTGTACGAGCCGCAAAAATAACAGGATCCCTTTTCATACTATCAAGCCCATATCGACCCCGTTTCCACTCTTGCCACGGGCGATAGGGCGATTTATCAAGACCAAGCCGTAGTCTATTCCCACGAAACCCCTCAAAGTCCTCCTTCCCGTGAAGATCCGTCATGAAAGGCATCGGGAAACGACCACTTTCCAACCGAACTGTGTACGTTTTCGGCAGCATATCCTCTTCATTTAAGTCGTTGTATACTGTTCGTGCAGTTGGGCGATTACTTTCGCCGTAGTACTCGGGAATCGGGTCATGATTCGTGATCGTTATTTCTAGACTGAGATGCGCGAGAGTGCATGTGTTGCTGCTGGTTGGAACGTTAATTATGTGTTCAAGGAGACTCAGGTTTAGCGCTATCTTGCAACCGTCGAGGTGGGTTGACCGTAGGTTGGGACATATAGATAGCCGGGATGGAATGGTTTACTACTCCGCATAACATTACTGCTCTTGTCCGAGAGCATCTCTGTTCTGAGATGGGATGCCCTGTCTGACGTTGCAGGCTCCACTGTTCTCCGACAATCCACATTTTGTGGCCTGGGGCATCAACTTCTCTACAGTCTCCAAGATTCTTTCCATGATCCTGTACGCTACAGAGGGTTTGGCAAGTTAAAATTCGTATGAGAAATTGAACAGGTTCATAGAAATATAATGATGTAATTTCTACTCGAAATAGCTGATTTTGAAGATGGGATCATGGTTTACTTCCCATCATCCTCATCCGGGTGGGGCACTGTTCAAGTGAGTGACGCCATGACACGAGATGCGAGGCTGCAGGCCCCAGGCGACGACACCCCGTCAAAGAGAAAGAAAGATTTTTCGCTCTTTTTTTGAGCCTCAAAGGTTTTGGGGGACTTTTTGCCACTGTGGCGTGTCCGAGTTCTGGTACGGCATTGCTGTGCCTGAATGGTTCTTTGTTCTTTGGATGCCTACCCCTGATCTGAGTTTCGAGTTTCGAGCTTTGATTTTTCGAGACTCGGAATCCGAAGTGTCTATACCTGGTGATTCTGATGTATTGTTGCTCGGACTCTGATTAAATTAATTTCTGTAGATGATATACTGCTCTCTAAGGGCCAGTTAAACCTCTCTTCGCAGCACGCAGTTCTCCATATCCAGAACCTGATTATCGACATGAGTCACTGAAAGACGCCGTGGCGTTCTTTGAAAATAACCCCTGTACAGCTTTCCTTTGAGTCGGCTAGGTTGGGAGTTGGGCTTCGCCTGTATAAGTAATGGAATAGACTACTGTACTATTGTACACGTTATCAAGCAAAGAATCTTTGACTATGGAGGCCTTTTGGGGACAGCGATCGAGCTTCGTTGTCGAGATCCCGCTGGGTTGACTCTTCTTATTGCGAAACTTTTGAATTACTCCATATTCTCCCCAAATTCTACTTTCTCATCAGCCTTCAATCATCCAATCATCCCATCATCCATCCCACACCATCCAACTTTTCTTCCTGGCTACGGCATCCTTCCCTTTTTTTTTTTGAACGGTGCCTTTTCCCTTTTTCTGCCCTCTTAGCCCCCAATATAGGGTGGCCATATATACCTTTATATGTGTATGACAGCAACAAGAAGGGAATGATACTACAAGGTTCTTTCTTGTTTTGTTTTCACCACGACCAATCGCATGATCAGAAGCTCTTCTTCCGCAACGCCCTCGTTGGCGTGTAATAAACCATTGGAGATGACGAACATTGCCTTCCTGCCTGGTATTTCGATATCGAGGAAAGGATGTTCCTTCTCGCAAATATAAATAGGGCATTAGACAGTGTCTGCTTTTGGTGCCTCCGGTGAATCAATCAATATCACATCTCTTTCCCGCTTTGCTCTTGTTCAACTGCAGGCACAGGTTATTTTTTGTTGTTTTATGTTTCTTTGACTGGGGGCTAAGAGGGTTCAAAAGAAAAAGGTAAGAAGCCCCGGTTAATCTTTTTGCTAACTCACCTTTTCTTTTTTTTCTTTTTACAGGAACCTTCGCAGCTATTGGAGAGCGCGGAGCGGATCAGATAGGGCTTTCTATCTTTATCTGCTTTCTTAGCCCCCGTTATAGTCAACTATGGGGGCAGCATTATATATATATATATATATTGTTTATATGGCATCAAGACGCTCTTTTCTACCAGCCCATTGTATAAACCATTGGAGATAACGAACATTGCGCTCCTTCTCGGGTGGCGTATATATGGCATAGAAGAGAAACTTCTACGATGATCATTTCGCAAGATTTCTCGCCTGGACATCGCACAGCACGATGTTAACATTAGAACCCGAACCAATGTTTATGGATCGACAAGGCGAACCTGACTCCAGGCACTCCCTTATGGGTAAAATGGAGGGAGGACATTCTCAAGGACACCGAGGAAGATCCCAAACAACTGTACAACGAGCTTTGTCAAGATCAATTTAAATAGAGAAAACCTAGTGTGGACACAGACCAGTCAGAGCTATAATCATTTCTAAGGGGGGGGATGGTTCAATTCAATTCAAAGCTCTATCAATCTGATACTGTCTAACTCAGAATGTAAAGCTATATAGGTGTTACTATCTGTCAGTAACAAGAGTTTGTCTAAACACTACGTATGTGTAAAGGTATAGGTTGGATTAGGCAAGAAAGTAAAAGACTTAAATTAGATAAATTAGCAGACTGGGTACTAGATAAACAATAACTGATTCTTAAAGAACTATAAAGCGAAAAAAAACTACTTATAATACTATTAATGTACTAATTTTATTTAAATATATTTATTCGAGATAGAAAATTTACTTAAAGAATATTTTTTAGAAAAAAAAATATTGTCAACGCGTTACGCGATTAGATACTATTGATACTAGATCATAAATATAAGATATAGTAGTAGATATACTAGCGATATCCTATTATAGGACCGAAGAAGGATTTATATAGTAGAAGACTATAATTTAAAGTCTTTAATACGATCTAGTCGTAAGATCAGAAGCGAGAGCTTATATATAACCCGTACGAAGAGAGCACAGAAGAATATAGTAAGTGTTGAGATATATATATTAAGGAAGGAGAAAGATACTATAGAGGAGAACTAGATACAGGAAGGCGGGTTATATGACCTGCTGCCTAACACTTTGTGAAAAGGTGATTCTGATTCTGCTATTACTCAGGCTCGGCCACTTATTATCCGGTGAGTCCTCGTTGTGCGATAAATAGTCGGTTTCTATGTAAGGCTAGTTCTTTCTTGGGGAGGGGAGTCTCATAGAAAAATAAGTAAAGAATGAAGCCGGTTGAGTATGACAAATGAGCCCTGGGGCAGATTATCATCATCTATTGATGCCTATCACTATCTACCTCGTTCCGTAGAGCAGCCAAACGACATGCAAACCACATCACTAGAATCGCGTTGAAATACGAAGAGTAATATTCAGAGACCCCAATTTATTCTATGTTTCCGGTGATCTTATAGAACTTGAAAGCGAATAAGGGCATTTACAGCATAATTTTTGAACTCTGCTTTATTTTGTCATTATGATAGGCGATTCGAAGACAAGGGCTTGGAAATAAAAAGAAGTTGACATTAGATTTCGGAAAACCAGGACATAATCATCAATTTCCGTTCTCTTAAGCGTTAAATGTATATAAAAAATAGTACAACTCCATATCAAAGCCGATTACTAGCTTTTCACATCACGTCCGCATTGAACCCTCGCTTGACCGCAATCAGTTTTCTTCCCATCGAAATCTTTGCATGGCAGAGTGTAGTCATCACATTTAATCTCATCGTCTTTATATGTGCAGCCCTTCAGAACTCCATGGTCAATATCAATGGTATCAGGAGGGTCGTAGTAGGTGCCTCCATCTGATGTTGCAACAGGGACGATGTTGCAAATATCAGGGTCATCACTAGAGTCACTGGGGAGAACCTGATAGCCGAATCCAGCCCCCTCAGCAGTGAAAAATGTGATGTAGGCATAACCAGATGGAGTGGCTGCGGCAGCCGATGCGGATGCAGCTGATGCTGAAGCAGCAGAGGCACTCGCCTTCGAAGCACTGACACTAGCTTCCGATGCCGATGTTGCTGAAGCTGCCGATTCTACGGAAGAGGTGTATGCCGCGTAGATGGTGGAAATCTGGGTGATGGATTTCATCGAGGTCACGCAGGACTTAGAATCACCGACATTATGGTCAAGGTAGCGAGAATCGTCACAATTGTAGACGGTGCCGTCTTTCGCGGTTGTTGTGAAGGGACCCTCATTATCCGGACTCCACGACATTCCAACAGGGGGCCTCGAGTAGGGGCATGGCTGGTAGGATTTCTGACCAGAGGTTGAGCTGGCTATCATATATTTACCAGTGTATTCAGTGCATTCAAATTCACAATACTCCCATCCGTCCTTGTTATCCACGACATGGTTCGCACTGCATGTAGGGCCTGCTGAGGTGGTAGTGGTGACAGAGGACTTTGTTGTTGAGGATGAGCCAGTTGTCTTGGGTGTTGAGCCTGGAGAAGCTGTAGAGTGAGCCGTTGCGGACGAGCCTCCAGAGACACCAGCACCAGGTGTTGCGGATACACTAAAACTGGTGGCTGCGACTCCAACTCCAGGAGCTTCTTGGACAGAAACGAAGGAGCATGCATCGACAGTAGATGTGGTCTCGAAAGTACTCGGCTTCTCATCACAGCCAGTTCGTGTCGTGCAAGACTGGGTACTTGTAATGACACTGATCGTGGTAGTGTCGGAGTTGGCCACTGGAGTGACGATGGTATCCCAAGTGCAATCGGAATATGTAGTACTTAATGTACAAGTACCTGTCGTTGACGAAGTAGTTGTTGAGGAATCAGATTTAGACGAGCTTGTGTGGTCATCGTCATCGTTCTTCTTCTCATCCATGTTATCCACAATGTTGCTAATTTCGTCGAGATACTCAGTTCCTTTCTTGACCTGGTCCTCAATCTCAGGGGTGATATCTTTCACATCAACATCATCAGGTATCACATTTTTAATGTCATCAACGATCGGTGCAACACAGCTGAGGGCAGAATTAGCAATGTCGCTAGCAGTATTCACTGTAGCGCTGACTGCCGACTTTGCAATACTGGCAACGGCATCGAAGAGGCCTCTCTTTTCGATCGACGATCTCTTTTTGGAGCCAGAGCAAGGGGATTTGCCAGTATCAAATCCAGTCTTGGAGAGATACTTCGAGGTTTGATCCTCGATATCTTCAATATGCTTCTTGTATGTCTTCGGGTCCTTCTTAAATTCATCGATGTTGTTATAGCTATTTCTCAACATCAGTGCAATGATAGCACTGTCAGAGCTAATGCTGGCTGGGCTTCCGGATGTTGTGGTAGCTGGCATAGAAGCCCATTCCTCCTGGGAAGGTGATGCTGAGGGGGCAAAATCAGCGATATCAGAATTACTTGTTGCGGCAGATTGTAGATCAGTTGCTGATGCGAGATCAACCGAGGAAACCCGATTAGATGGATTCACTGTGGGCAACGAGGAGGGGTGACCTGTGGTGCTGTGGTCTGGGGTTCCTGAGGCACCATCTGAAGGAGATGTTGACTTTGTCGCAGTTGCGTCACTTGCAGGACCCTTCGGTGTGGAGCTTGTAGTACCGCCTGGAGGGTTTGGTGTAGATCCACTTGGGCCTACAGACTTGGAGCTTGATGTGTCCGATCCCTTTGTCCCGGTATTGTTGGGTTGGGAGCTGGCAGGGCCATCTGGAGATCCTGATTTCGAAGAACCACCTGAGGTTCCAGCAGGTGAGCCTGATTTGGTTGTGTCTGGGCTAGCTGGCTGAGTGGTTGTGTGTTTGGGTGGAGAGCCGGGTGTAGTAGATCCACTTGGGCCTACAGGCTTGGAGCTTGATGTGTTCGATCCCTTTGTTCCGGTATTGTTGGGTTGGGAGCTGGCAGGGCCATCTGGAGATCCTGATTTCGAAGAACCACCTGAGGTTCCAGCAGGTGAGCCTGATTTGGTTGTGTCTGGGACAGCTGGCTGAGTGGTTGTGTGCTTAGAATGAGATCCTGAAGCTGTAGACCCATTGGGGACGAGTGGCTTGGAGCTTGAGTGACCCCCTGGAGGGACGCCTGCGGAGCTGGTGGGCGGGTTTCCAGGGGTTCCCTCAGCAGCTGAGCTTCCACTTTCATTTGGTGTGGCAGAGCTAGCACCAGAATTGGCAGGCCCTGGAGAGGTAGTCACGCTAGGGGGGTGCTGTTCCTCCTGAGCCTCCATCTGTTCCAGTGGGCTTGCCTGACGAAGTGATGGTACTGAAATGGACAGTGGGAATATGGCCGTCCGGAACAGTGACAACGGAGGTCAGCTTCAGCTTGTGGCTGTTTGCATGATCATATGTCAAGGGCAAAGACGATGGAGTAGATGATAGAGGCGTTGCCGGAGGTGTAACAAATTTAACAACTGGGGTGACCGTATTGGGTACAATAAGAGTGGTGTGAACTGTTGTAGTCCAATCTGCTCCTACTTCCTGTAGCAAAGGGAGGAGAAGCAAGAGAGCAGCGCTCTTGACGGCCATTTTGAGAAGAATTGGTTGATTTCGTTGACTGAGGAGGACCGGAGACATGTCATTTATACAACATTCATGGCTTGGGGCCGAATCATGAAACTGAATGAACAGTATCCATTCAGTAATACAGAACGCTCTGAAATATTTCTGTAATTTGAAATGGTGTCACTGGATAAGAATAGATATGGAGCATCGCTTACGGAGTACTCAGATGGCGTCGGTCATAAGATGATCAGTCTGAAGGATTCCGCCATATTGCGAAAACTTGGAATGTTGCTTTCTACGAAGTACTTTGCAAGATGCAACTGTGCTCCGTAGACTACTTCATAGCGCCAGCACGGCCCTCGGCCCCCTTGGGGTCTCGGAAATCGTCAGGGGTCACATTTCTATGGCCAAAATAAGACGATATAGACTTTATACATCGTACTGTGGCGACTGGCGTAGTTGATATGAAAACGTGTTTTGGCCTTGACTACCAACTACCAACTACCACAAATCTTTGAATATTTCTGAATCCACCTAAGACTCATTGTTTACAAAAATTATTTGGTTTCCGTCTTGCGGAGAAAGAGATCCCCGTACGGAGTACTGGGCACTCCACGCGGAGGAGATTTCCCGAGTCCGGGACCCCGAATTCGTCACAACGTCGGCAATCTATTTGGGGGCCATCTGGGCAGGGGTAACGATTAGCTTGGGAATTTATCAGGGCCAGCGTAAGCTTATGCTTAACCTAATAAGATAAGAGTTGGCCAAGAAAACCGAGATGCTATAAATGTTTTCTTTCAGCATCGAACATCATAGGTCAATTCTATGTGATATCACTGCGCGGGAATTATTCTTGAGGCTAGAGCCTTGCAATTTGGGGCCAGAGCCTTGCAATTTGGGGCCAGAGCCTTGCAATTTGGGGCCGGAGCCTTGCAATTTGGGGCTAGGGTTTTAAAACGTGGGGGCTACAGTACTGCAACTTGGGCCTGAATCATAAAAGTCGTCGATCTTTACCTTGATAGTAGGGTTATTGCGAGTGGCACCAATGGAACCTATATAGCAGTTTGGGGTCGAAAAATTGTAAAATTTACGCCAATTTGTATCAATTACAATATTGTAGTCCAGACTTCGTATTATGTCAATCGTTTTCCGTTTCAGCCCCTATAGGGGCTGTAACTTCGCTCTCCGTATTACGAGAAGAGACTTTAAAATGGCCTTTCCCTGCTCCCATTGAAGGTAGTTTCTGGTCAAATTACACCAATATACCCTCTCTCTTCTTTTTAATACTGGCAATAGGCTAGGGCACAGAATCAACAGTGGATTGAAGTATTTGATACTTCATTCTCGAGCCCACAAGCCCTTCTCAGTGACCTCGGTCAAGCCGTCAAGATGCTTTTATTAAAGAACTTTTTCCTCCTTCTTTCTTTCCTCGTCCTTCATATTGCCCTTGCTGCGGATATTCAAGTAACGCGGGATATTTCTGCACCAAAAATGTTAGGTGGTGATGAAACCGCTTATCTCTGGACCGGAACTGCTGAATTCGAGAAGAAGGTCACCAATGGACAGCTTGTGCAAATATGTGACGATGCTTTCAAGGCTATGGCCGCATCCATGGAAAAATACTTGCCAGATATTGGAAACAAGAAAATTCCCGGAGTCATGGTAGCAATGGTATACGAAGCCGATCCTGGAAAGAAATACAAGGTCTATCTCGCTTCGTCCGCGAAGGGTTCGAAGAATATTGTCTACGCAGCGAAAAAGTCTTCACGCGATCAAGCAAACTGCGCAGTGACAAACGATTTCCTTCCGGAACAATTTAGAAAAGAGCTCGAAAATTGCCGGGTTGACTGGAGCACGGGCAATGGCGACAACCCTCGACACAAAAACGATGCTAGCTGTGGCGAACAAAATGCATTATTGATGATCTTTGCCGAGCAGGGCAAGATGCCAAAGATCACAAAGGAGACTAGTAGTATCGTTGCAATTGCAGGAAGAATCAAAGATAAGGAGGACGAAAATGGAGAGATACGGAAGAAGCAGTATCTAGGGGGAATGACTATTCCCCCTTGCACGGAAGATGGCGGTTATGGATGCGACGAAGTGTTGGAGAAATACTTCGGGAACAACATCGATGTCATAACTAAAGACCAGGCAAAGGAGCCATATGATGACAATAAGCCCGTGTCTGTGGGCTTTCAGCCAATCTTTGATGTTAAGGATTCATGAAGTGAGGAATCGGATTATAATGAAGCAGAATATATGTATCATAATCGAGATTATGAAGCACAGATTTATGGGAGTAATTAGCGTCATCGTTCATGAAAGTATGATGTGAAGTACCAAAGTTACCAGGAATAAAGCTTCTCATTGCCTGGGTCACACTAAAGTGAACGACATTGTCTGATCATAATCATAACATTGATTGTACTCGTAAAGCCGTCACCCTCCATGCGGCTTCTACATCTGGATTAGACGACTCTCAAATAAGCCATAAAAAAGATAAAGTTCGGGAAGTTCGTAGATTGTTACAAGATGGCACACTTGAATTTGATTCAATTTCTTAAAGACACATGCTATAAAAGAGTTGTTTTCATATCAGCTAAATCAGAGATCTCAAGTCTAGCATTGCAAGCTTTTCAGAGAACCTTCCGGTCAGGGGCTAAGCGATTTTCAGTCCAAATTCCATTGGAAAGCTCGTCAGAAACAACCTGGAAATGAATACCCTCCTGGGCACAGGCAGCCCGAGCAGCTTTCGCGAGGGGTACTGTTTCGCCGTCCTGGGCAAAGTATTCCCATCTCCGGATCCAGACGCGCTTAAGGTGAGGCAAATGCGCCTTTAGCTTTGATGCGTTATATGTGACTAATTCCGTCATTTCCTCCGCGTGCCAGGAATCGTAATCAACTGGAGCATAATCCGACCTGAGACATAATTGTTCGACCCCTTCGGGTAAACCTGAGACCAGATCACTTGAGGCCTCCATTGTCCATCCTGCAAGTAGGTTTACAGGAATTTCAACAGAGCGAAGCTTTGGGAATTGCTTCAGTAGACTATAGAATGGAGTACTGAGGTCATACTCCCCTCGTTGAAGATGAAGATCACTTTTCCCTGGTGGATAATATTCAATGCCAAAAGACAGATTTGTGAGCGATTCCTTGGAATATTTCAGGCCTTCAATTATTGCTGGACCATCTTTCAAAGCTACCTCCTTTCCCCATCTGTATGCCATTCCCAGATGCAGAGTTTTTAAAGAGGGAGCAAGAGAAAGAATGCTAGGAGCCTGATTTTCTTCAATAGTCGCTCGTGTGAGTATGAGCCTTTCAAGCCGAGAAAGATCTGGCCGCCCATAAGGCGAAGGCAGCTCTATGCCCTTCTTGGTGCGAAGCCATATTTTAAGCGACCGGAGAGCTGGCAGGTAGAACCAAGCAGGAAATTGTTTAGGATTGCACTCAGGGTATCCAGGCTCTTCGTAGATTAACGGCTCGCCAAAGCTCATTTCGTCACGGCGGACATTGGCCCCGTAATCCACATGTGTAAGAAAATTGAACTGTGACAATTGCTTCGATGAGAGTGCATGGCGTAGCATTAGTCCAGGGAACCCAGATTGCCATACAAAAGTATAATCAAGCGACAGTGATTGGAGGTTGTGAAGCTGCGAGAGAAGGATTGACACAAATGCATAGGGGTTTCCATTATCAAGAGCTTGGGTCCAAGTATTAGAATCTGGGAAAGCAGTTTTCTTCACAATGTGTTGGGCATGCTCAAGAACATCCTGAAAATGTGTGATCTCTTCTTTACAGTCCGTTTCACAGCTTGGGGGATGCCATGACTCAACCGCTGAATCGAAACTTTTCTGTGACAGAAGACTGAAATGTCGAATATTATATGCCCGCTCTGGCTTCCGCAGTACAGCCCGAAATAATAGAAGGACTCTTCTAAGCGGGATTGGTTTCCACTCCCAGGCAATAGCTTTCATTAAAAATGGCTCAGAAAAGCAATTACTGCTTTTAGAGACAAAGAGAAGCGACCGATGATCTTCCAGGGAGAGATAGCTCAGAATTTTGAGCCAGCAGTCGCTGGGTAGGAGAGACACTGGACTGAATATATGTCAATTAAGCTGTAGTAGTACATAATGGAAGCTAGACACAAATTAAGCAGACCAACCTTGCTATGGAATTGTCACCCATTATTGAGATGTAAGGATATTGTGAGAGGAGAGAGAGGAGGGGGCAAAAGTTATATAAAAACCAGCCCCCAAACTCAGACCCTTTGGCCCCCAACTTGAGCGCTCCGCTATGTCACATGTTCATACCCACATCCCACTACTTTCTATATTGTTAATATTGTAAATCTCTTTTGGGCAACGCACCTCAGCTTTCTAAAACCAGATCATGGACCGCCGATCATTACCGAACGAGCTCATCGAAGCGATTCTCAGGCAAGTTGACATGCAAACCGTTCTCCTCGCCCAACGAGTCTGCCGACAATGGGCCCTATGCATCCGAGGATCTTTCCTGATCCAACAAATTCTATTCTTCCAACCAGCACCAGCCAACACGACACGCCAACAAAACCCCCTGCTAGCATCCAAATTTCCATACTGGTTTCCCGCCGATGACGCTGAGTCATGTGCCATCGCCTTTGGCGCCGGCGACATGCAGGATTTTCTAGAGAGCAGCGAAAAATATCGGCGACCGGAGGCGAGCTGGCGCCGAATGCTTGTTCAGCAACCACCTATCATGGCGCTTGGATGGGTGGAGCGTAGCGTGTCGCCATCCGAAGTGACAGACCTACATCGCTGGGAGATTCCACTACAAGCACTTGGTGGGTTACAAATGAACATGCTGTATGATCTGGTCGTGAATACTTCCGAGGTTGCGCCGGAATACTTCTATTTCAGAGTCCTTTGGTCGCAAAGTAAAACTTTGAGCAGTAGCTTTACTAGCCTCCGCTCAGATCCATGTCCGCCGTCTTTCAGTTCGGACAGGATCAATAGGTCACTCAGGAATGCAATGGAGGGTGCGGATGTGGTTCTCGATATGTGGTATACAAGTCTAATGACAAATCAAGAATGGTCGAAAGATACGTGGACATGGAAGCTTGTACGGGGGCTGAAGCTTGCACGGGGGCTGAAGCTTGATATTGATCTGATACGCTACATGAGAGAGCTGAAGGAGGTCAAGAGCTGGACTTTGGCGGAAGAGTTGGGTGACATCGCTAGAGAAACAGGACCTGCCGACCACGGTATGCCTCTTCCTGATGACGACGACTCGGACCTGTAATGTTAAGGATTTGGAAGTATCTGAAACTCATGATATTGTTTGATGTTATTATTCTATGGTCGTATCCTCGTCATCGCTATGCACAGTAGGCAACCCCAAGTCTGCCTTGAATCGCCATCTCTTCGACGGACCGAGCTTGTACTCATGGAGTATCGAACTCAGGCCACTGGTAATCGTCATAAATTTGCGAGACGGGTCGTGCACCTTTTGTCTTTCAAGACAAACGGCGAATGGAATGGCCGTAGTTTATAGGCGATAGAAGTGCTCGAACAGAGTACATCTGACTTCGTAAGCCGCATTGGTTTGAGGACATGAGGGTGTGATTAATACAATGACTCAAAGATCTCAGCGTATCTCCCTACTGATGAGCAAAACTGATCTGTGACCTAGCCGAATCGGGTCAGTCAGATTCACTACATATCGCCTTGGCGATGAGGCTTGAGATAGTTTCTCTGTAAAACGAGGAAGCCAATTTCGAATATTGCTGTATCCATAATTAGGACGGATTTCGGCTCAGGCCACCTTCCACAATGCCTCAGCAGCTGGTCAATGAAGTCCTCGAATAGTGCAGCTTCGGTAGAGCCCTGAAACACCCGAGAGAGCACAATTCTATCCTGGGAATATGCGGGCAGTATCTGGTAACGCTGATCGCAATGGAAGTTGGCTACCTGCAATGGTGCTACGCCCAACGGAGACCGGCCTGTCCGTCTGAACCCAATTCGCTTATCGCATCCAGACTCATCCATATAAACGAAGTAGTACGACTGAAAATCAGACAGATTGTATATGTGGTAGTCTCTTAGGTCGGTTTTCTGCTCCTTTGCTCTCTGCCGAGCCACCTTCTTCGACTAACCGACCGAAGCAAGAGCCCGTTTAAGGCTCGAATTTATCACCTAGACACGGAACTCGTCCTATAAAAATATTGCCATCTCTTCCACATACAGCCTAGGATTTTCGAGCAGATGATCACACAAAGCCTGTAGCATCAGAGGGGTCACGTTTCGTCGTCGACCTACGGGAATTAAGGGTGCTCTGACATTTCCGAACCAGCGAAGGTTGTTGCTGATGTTAATGACCGAACGCTTGCTACAATCAGCAGCTTTGGCCATTTGTGAGGTATTTAGTGATTTGCTCAATAACATATCTTGGATCATCTCAAGCTTTGAGAGGGCCAAAGGCCAAGGAATGAGGAACCCGTCAGCAATACGAGATCTGATGGCGATTACGTACAATCCTGCAAAGCTCGCATCGGGAATAAGGTGACTCACTCGGCATGCCGGTCAGCAGAATTTGCACAGAGCATAATCCTTCATATTGTACGGAGTTTAGTCTAAAGTCGCCAGGGCTGATCATCCGCTGTGTGCAACAAGGCCCACTTCAAAGGGATGAACGGAATTATAATCCTTGAACTCCATCGGAGTTCGGAATCCCCAGCCAAAATTCTCCTGTCTGGTCCAGTCGGGTTGCAAGGCGCGCAGGGGAAGCAAGCTAGAGCGCGGACTCCCGTGGTCTGGAATCCACATGGCGGCTGATGCCAACTGATAACGGGTGGCCCACGCACTGAGATCTAAGTTCTCGGAAATATTGAATCTTAAATGGAGTTCTTTGTAGATAGCATCGAGCTGGACTTCGAGATACTACTTCCATCCGATGGGGGGGGGACTATTTTCGTGCTCTAAATTTCTAGATTACAAACCAGATAATATATTCTGGATGCCCGAATCCCGTGCATAGAGTTGCTTTGAAGTCGTTTGCTGAATGCAATGAAAAAAAGGATTGATAATCAGGATCGAGGTACTATACATATTCGGGTCCACTGAGCATATCTAACACAATCACCAGACCGTGTGCAAGATTCTAATTCATCCGAGAATGCCAAGCCCGTGTTTCAGGATGGCCGACCAATCAGAGGCGTGCCGAGTACCCGGTGACACAACTCAACGTGGCTTTATGCCCTGCATAATCAATCACGTGGTTCCCGTTCGCGTCATGCCGCCCGGGGATTTTCCACGCTTTGGTCGCTTTGAGTTTCCTATGAAAAAGTGGCTGTATTCAAGCAGCAACACTGGTGGAAGGCAAAGACGCCCTTGCAAAATAATTCGACGTGATGGACTGTTTCAATGAACCTTCGTAGCCTGTAAGCCCAGCGTCATCCGGCAGCTCTATATCCCGATCGGTATCCATATGGGGAGATGTCACGGCGTACTCCGTATGGGTCCTGGGCCGACTGGAGCCCCGGTTCGGACCCAGTGGCCTAATTCATGTCTGGATCCCTGTTTCCATCGGTGGAGCCTAGTGTTAAGCCCGCTTTTTCTTCATTGCTGGGCAGTTATTCCCATAATGCATGGCTTTTATGTATGATTATTTATCACCGGCCTACGTCCGGGGGGAGAATTTCAGGAACCAACCAGAAAAAAAAAGCCACTGAAAAAAAGGAAACGCGCCACCCCATAGCTGTAGCTTTATTAAAGGGGAGATCCCAGCTAGATTCACTGGTTTGATCTTATTTCTCCCTCTACAGATAATATAATCATAATCATCGCCACAGCGCACTAACTCCCGCTGCATAATCACCTTCGCCTATCTGAATCTAGCAATACGAAGGTACTATACGCATTCCTAGTATATCGCCTATCCCCGCAAACGGTGCATAACTTCGGAACCTCTTCCAAGTTTATTTTCTCAAAAACACCCCGCTCCCCACCAAAATTCGCATTCGTCTTTTCTCCATTATTATTTCCCTATAATAATAGACAAAATTGCGCGCCTTCGCATCGAAAACATCCCCTCACACCCGCCCTATTTTGCCCACCATGGCGGGCGACGACAAACATCATGTATCTGAGAAGATCGAATCTTCTCTCCCCACCAAAATTTCCTACTTCCGTCTCGTCTCCGACCAGGGTGTTGTCACCCAGCAGATTATGGACCACCCGTACCCGGGCTCGGGCACAGAAGATGACCCATATGCTGTGACATGGATTCCTGAAGATCCTCGCAACCCTATGAATTTCTCCGAGTTCAGGAAATGGTCTTTGACTGCGATTGTCGCTATTGCCACATTGGCTGTCGCATTGGTTTCCTCTGCCTACACTGGCGGTGTTGCGGAGATCGAAGCGGAATTTGGCATCGGCGGTGAAGTTGCCACTCTCGGTGTCTCGCTCTTTGTTCTGGGCTTTGCTGTGAGTACTTCCCCTGAGATTCCCATGAAAAACTTGCAAGCGGGCTGGTGGCTAGAATGTGTATTTCGAGAACTGTTTACTGACAATCAATCTCTAGATCGGTCCCTTGCTCTGGGCTCCCCTCTCCGAACTTTTCGGCCGTCAAATCCTCTTTGTCACCACATACGCTGCCCTGACCGCATTCAACGCAGGTTGCGCCGGTTCCAAGAACGCCTGGACGCTTATCATTCTTCGATTTTTCGCCGGTGCCTTTGGATCTTCCCCTCTGACCAACGCCGGTGGTGTTATTGCCGATATGTTCCATGCTAAGCAGAGAGGTATCGCCATGAGTCTCTTCGCTGCCGCGCCTTTCCTGGGACCTGTACTGGGCCCTATTATCGGTGGTTTCTTGGGTATGAATGCTGGCTGGAGGTGGGTGATGGGATTCCTCGCTGCTTTTTCTGGTGCTGTCTGGATTATGGGCAGTCTGCTGGTTCCTGAGACCTATGCGCCTGTCCTGCTTCGCCAACGCGCTGCCAAGCTGTCGAAGATTACTGGCAAGGTTTATCTGAGCAAGATCGATATCGACCAGGGCAAGGTATCTCTTAAGGATTCTTTCAAAATTGCCTTGTCTCGCCCCTGGATTCTTTTGTTCCGCGAGCCTATTGTGTTCCTCCTGTCGCTGTACATGGCAATCATTTATGGAACCCTCTATATGATGTTTGCTGCGTTCCCGATTGTTTTCCAACTCGGTCGTGGCTGGAACCAGGGCATTGGTGGTCTGGCCTTCCTTGGTATCATGGTTGGTATGCTCATGGCCGTGGTTTATACCCTGTGGGACAACAAGCGCTATGTCAAGACCCAAGACAAGCACGACGGCTTCGCACCCCCAGAAGCCCGTTTGCCGCCTACAATGATCGCCTCCATCGCCGTCCCGATCGGCCTCTTCTGGTTCGCATGGACCAACTATCCGTCCATCCACTTCATGGCCAGTATCGCAGCCGGCGTCCCCTTCGGTTTCGGCATGGTCCTTGTCTTCCTGGGTATCATGAACTACCTGATTGACGCCTACACGATCTTCGCCGCCTCCGTCCTAGCAGCCAACAGTATTATCCGTTCCTTATTCGGTGCCGCATTCCCTCTGTTCACCACATACATGTACAACAACCTCGGAATCCACTGGGCCTCCTCGATCCCGGCCTTCCTGGCCCTCGCCTGTGTGCCCTTCCCCTTCCTGTTCTACAAGTACGGTGCTGCCATCCGCAAGCGCTGCAAGTTCGCCGCCCAATCCGACGCCTTCATGCGCAAGATCCAGGAACAAGCCACAGCCGGCCCCACCGAAGAAGAAGAAGAGGAGACTAAGTTCGATCGAACTGAAGCCCCGGGTCCCCTCGAGTCCCTGTCTAGCGAATCGTCTTCCCACCTCGACGAGGAGCTTCCCTCTACTCAACGCACTCGCAGCCGCGCTCACTCCGTGGCGTCGACCCGTACTGCGGGCTCGCTGCATCGCGTGCCAACTTATGAAGGAAACCCTTATGATGTTGACCGTGTCAATACCCGGGAGTCCTTCAAGCAATAAGCGGTGCTGCAACTTAATTCCCCCCCCTAATCACTATATACTTATCTGTGCCCTGATAATCTTATTACATACCCCCTCCCCTTCAACTGCACAAAAAAAAAGCACGCCTTTATTCACTGGCACCACAGCTATTTGGCTTTTTCCCTGTTTTTATACCCTCATGTTTCCCAGGTTGGGAACGAGCTTATGTGTTTACGGGTCTCATTATTTGCATATGGATACGGAGTCGAGTCGAGTCGGTGTTGAACATAACTCGGATA